GCTCCAGAGGATCTGCTGGCGGCAACTTGCGAGGCTTCTCCTCATCAAGCTGAGTCTGCTGAGACTCTCCTGCCTGTTGCTCCAGAGGATCTGCTGGCGGCAACTTGCGAGGCTTCTCCTCAAGCTGAGTCTGCTGAGACTCTCCTGCCTGTTGCTCCAGAGGATCTGCTGGCGGCAACTTGCGAGGCTTCTCAGCGGCCGTGTCCTTGGTCGCAAAGACCTTCACAGAGCCAGCAGTGCCAAAGGCCGATGACGGAAAAAGCGGCCGCGCCACAGAGGCCGACAAGAAAGGGCCAAGCCCATTCTCCGCACCCATCGAGTCTCCAGCCATGCCAGGGGATGCTGCATCCAGCTCCATGTGGCTCCCGGCCTCTTGCAATGCAACACCATCAGACTTCTTCTGCTTTTTTTCTGGAGTGCAGGAATACTCCGAGGAAGGAGTCGAAGGCATCTGCATTGTGAACCTGATCTGTCGCGAAGCTTGCTGCGGGGACGATGCCTTCCTTTTGCCGTTCATGAAGGCCTCCATCACGCCTTCAGCGATCATGCTTGCAAAATGCAAACACTTGGAAGCCGTCCAAAATTGATCTCACTTGAGCAAAACACTACCCAGACCATATCAGCTCAACATGCAATCGTGCTTTTGAAGAGCTCAGCGCGGATGCTGCACTCGAAGAAGAGATAGACTGCTGAAGATCAGAAATGCGAGGCCCCGGCCAAGACTGTTTTCACATGGGTCCGGAACTCGACACGTTCCTTTGGTCTAACTTAATCTCCAAGCAAAGCCATGCACTTCGAGAAGACACAACTATCCTAAACCCTTAAACCGGAATCCCTAAACCACAAGTGGAAGATGGCCTGACATGACATGGCAACCCTACCCTAAACCCGGGGGTTTGGGGTTTAGGGTTTATGGTTGTGTGGTTTCAAGGGCTCGGGGTATCGTTAGGGGTTTAGGATGGTTTAGGGTTTCGGGGTTAGGCAATGGGTTTAGAATAAGGGCACTCTTTTTGATTGTGTGCTTTAAGCCTTAAAGGTGGGGTCCCCAAAAAGGGGATAAGGGTACCAGAGCACTTCTCAGAACATGTTCCAACCGAACTCAAAATCCTCAATTGTTTTTGCACTTCTATAACTAAATCCCGAGACCGGCTGGAGCATTTTAGGGATTAGAGTTCAGGGTTCAGGATTTACACACAAATCCCATGGCATGATGTGTGTAATGCACATCCTAAACCCCGAAACCCTAAACCGAAACATGACATGGCATGCAGACACACATGATCTAAACCCAAAACCCACAAAAGTCCGACCAGAAGCCCTAAAGCACTAAAATCACTAGACCCTAACATGCCATGCTGTGCATGCACATCCGAGACCCCTAAAGCCTAAACCGAAACACCCAAACCCCTAAACCCTAAACCCAAACATAGCATGGTGTGCACGCACATGATCTACACCCTAAACCTACAAGACCGCGACCAGAAGACCTAAATCCCTAAACCCCAACATGATATGACATGCATGCAACCATGTGGCGGAGCCTGGAGGCCGCACCAGGACATCCTAGGCCGGACTTCCGGAGTGCTGCTACTACACGTGGACGAAGCCAGCGAAAAGCCCAAGCAGATCCGAATGTTGGCTTTTTCTTGCTCGAAGGGTCTGCGCTTGGGGTTCTGTGCACTACCTGTCGTCCTCGACAGACGCTTCACTGCTGATGCTGCAGTCCTCGTCCCTTCTAGAGCCGAGGACCAGCGTTGATGCATCCGATGCACTGCGCTGAATTTTGCGCGAAGGAGATCTGGCATGTGCTTGGGCCTGCACTTTTGAACTGGACTGGATTTTGTCCTTCCCTAGAATCTCCATGACCCTTCGTTTCATATTGGACACCTCGCGCTCCGAACTCTTGCCCTGCTCATCATCCTCCTCCGGCAGCTCCCTCTTTACTGCAACAGGCCGGTCGTCTGGATCCTTGTTGTCATCAATCCCAAGCTTTTCCGAGGACTGTGCAGAGGCTGCATTTGCTTCTGCCTTCTGCTTCGATGACGGCTTCATGGCAGCACACAGAGCAGCTGTGTATTCTTGAGCCTGAATTGAACGGGCATGCTGCACTGCTGTTTTGCTGTAACATACCCAGACAAGTGCAATATAATGAAGCCCCAGGCTCCCCCTGGCTTTTCATAACCACATCGACAACTGTAATCCTGTACCCTTTATAAATCAGCCCAAAGCTCAGGATGACATCCGAGATCGATTGAAGCGCCTTGGCTGCAAAGTGAGTGGGACTGCCTTATAGCAAAGGCTTCAAAACTTGGTGTGGTTTCGACGGGGCTTCGGCTCCAGGGTGCAGACAACGAAAGCTTCTTTTGCTCCGATACGCATGAATTCGTCCCAACGAAAACGGGAAAGGTAAGCAGCTCGCAAGCTTCATAGCTGCGAGCCTCTCTGAGTCTCAGGAGCCTCTGCAAGGCTTTTGAAACTACAAAACAACACTTCGGAAAGCTCCAGAGCTTCTGCTGCATTCTGAACACCTGGACCAAAAACCTGCTATGAACCCAACTACTCTTGGATGCCTTCCAAAACAAAACGACCAAGCCAATCAGCAAGCCAATCAACTACTGGCTAGTAGCTGGTCTGCATGCCGTAGCCTCGTGCAGGCGATCCATCCCGGCTCATATACGAAACCACAACCACCACCAGATGCTTTGGCCGGATTCGCCCCTCGTGTGTTTCCAGCACCATCGCCACTCTTGCCAGGAAGCACGTGGACTGCGAGACCGGTCCCGAATCTGCTGATTTGTTGAGTTCTCAGTGTTGCTGCCTTCCACGACCGTTGAGCTCTCGGTGTTGCTGCCTTCCACGACCCTGGCTCCTGTGCCTCGCTGGCGAGTTGGTGTGCGAGAGCGGGCCATGGCACTTCTTGGTGGCAGGAAGCTCTGGTTCGCTACTTTTTCGAGGCACCGTCGGCTGCACACACAGACACCATCCAAGCAGCCCCTTTAGGCAGGGGCAGAGGAAGGGGCAGGGGCAGGGCAGGCACAAAAGTCCGACCAGAAGCCCTAAAGCACTAGACCCTAACATGCCATGCTCTGCATGCACATCCTAAACCCCGCAAAACCTAATCCGAAACATGGCATGATGTGCATACACATCCCAAACCCCTGGCTTGTTCACCGAGTGCCTGGCTGGAGTGACATGTCCTGTACCTCTTTGGAAGGCAACTCGGAAGTAGTAGCAGCATGGGCTCGAAGGCATGCAAAATGGCACACAGGGGCTACCTTTTCCCTCGCACAACTCAGAAGCTGGAGCTTCAAGTGCTGCTGGCCGACTCCTGCAGAACAAGACTCAAGGGAAGTGATCTGATTTTGTGGAAGATCGAAACTTCAGGCCTTCGACTTCGCTGCATCTCCAAGCAAAGAGCATGAGCTCGAAGTGCTAGAGCTCGAGCTCGACTTCTGCAAAGTGCCACTCGGCTGGATGGATGGCTGCATATCAGCAAGATGTACAACTGAAGCCTTGGACTTCTTGGCAGCACTGCCCGCCGAACCAGCTGCCTAGGTGGAGGCAGCAATTGCAGACTGCACACATGCTGTGTCTATGAAGGCGAGGAGCAGCCCTGGCACTTTTCCGGAGCTGTTGCTGGCGCTTCTCCTCGAGTTTTCGTCAGTCGCCTCTTTGTGAAAATAAGATGTCGGCTAGCTCCCTACCACCCTCCGGTAGAAGATCTATGAAGCCGAGCAGCCTCAGCCTGCTGTTCCTTCAAGATCCTTTTTTTTTTGGCTTCCTCGTCTCTTGACTTGTGAACATGGTTCGAAGCTTTGCAAACATGCCGGAAATATGAAGCTGAGCAGCTTCAGCAACGGCAACCGCCGTCGCATGCTCCACTCGCTCTTTCACAGCAGGCATCTCTGAAATGCGCTTCTCCCTGTGCCACCTGCTGAGCAAGGCAAAGGCAGCATCCCCAGTCTGGTCGTGGTCGTCCTGGATGAAGATCGCCGTTATCAGCTTCTGCAGCTCAGCCATCCCCTTGACTGCCAGCATCTCGAAGCAGTGCTTGGGGACTACATTTAGCACAGCAAGCGCAGCACTTCTGCTGCCACTGCGCTGTCCTGGGTTGCAATGAGATGCAAATGTGAGGAAACCTCCTGGGAATATGAACTTTCTGCAGCCATGTGTCGTATCCACTTGACCAAGAGCTTGAGGCCTCCACGAAGCACGAAGGCCTCCAGCACGCTTCCGTGGGATCGCATCAAGTCGTTGAGGAACTGGACATGAATGCCCGAGGAGGCTGAAGGCTGTATCCCCTGCATCTCCTGCAGAGGTGCCTCAGCTCAATCAATGTGTAGCCAACATAAATTCACTGACAACTGACCATGGACAAGAAGCCTGAGCTCGAGCCATAGCCTGGTCTGGAGCCAGTGCCATCTCCTTGCTGCGAACCTGATCTACCCACAGATGCCCCTGCAACCCTTCCTGCCATGGCACACAGCCGTACTGCTGGTCAAGGAACCGTTGCAACATCAGCTGAAGACCTTGCTCTGTTGTCTGCCAGGTGTGCTCTCTGATCAGCAGCCTCAGTGGCTGCAAACGGCTCTTAAAGTGTGTTGGGAGCATTGGGGCTCTTCCGAACGCTGCCGAAGCTGCAGTCTTTTCCACTTCGGCCCGGCGAGCTCTCTCGTCTGCAGCCTGAGTGGCTGCAAAAAGAAGCTACAGTCATGCATCCTCCAATCCTCGAATGCAGTCGAAGTTGCATTCTTCTCGAATTCCGCAGCCCGAACTCTCTGCTCGGCAGCCTCAGTGGCTGCAAGACAAGAATCTAGAGTCGTTGAACGATCAATTCCCCTTAACTGCAGTCGAAGTTCTGCCCAAGCTGCAGTCTTCTCTGCTTCGGCCCGGCGAGCTTTCCAAACTGCGGCCTGAGTGGCTGCAAAAACAAGCTACAGTCATGCATCCTTGAATGCGGTCGAAGTTGCATTCTTCTCCAACTCCGCTGCCCGAGCTCTGAACTCGGCAGCCTCAGTGGCTGCAAGACAGGAATCTAGAGTCATTGAACGATCAAATCCCCCTGAGTGCAGTCGAAGCTGCATTCTTGTCGGCCTGGGTGGCTCGAGCTTTCTCGTCTGCGGCCTGAGTGGCTGCAATAAGGAAGGTAGAGTCAGACATCCTGGAATGCAGTCTTAGCTGCATTCTTCTCTGCTTCGGCAGTACGAACTTTCTCGTCTGCGACCTCAGTAGCTCTAGAACAGAAACTCGAGCGAGACATCTTCAATGACCGAGGCTTAGTGCAGCCGAGGCTGCACGCTTCTCCACTTCAGCCAGCCGCGCTCTGTCTTCAGCTTCCTCGGTGGGTGTGGAAAAGGGTTCAAGAATATCTATAGAACTCCGAATGCAGCCGAAGGCGCATTCGCAGCCAACTCCGCTGCCTGGGCTCTGTCATGGCCGCAAAGAACATCTAGAATTCCGAATGCAACCGAAGCTGCATTCTGGGCCGACTCGGCTGCCTCGGCTCTGTCATCACCACAAAAAAAGGCAAGCACATGAGAGCCAGCC